GGAAGCCTGCTTCTCCCTCTCCCACTCCCCCGCTTGTGTTCCTGCTCTCGCTCTCTCTCTGTCAAATAAATAAATAAAATCTTTAAAAAAAGGGGGGGGAGAGCCTTTCACATCACCTATTTCAATCCCCTCATTGTGTCTACAAGATGACGTTCTTTGCTCAAGGTTTTCCAGCTAATTAGTGGAAGATTTGGTTCTAGAACCCAGGATTGACTTCCCCCAGAATCTTCTACTGGTATAGGAACCTTTCCATGAAGACGGACACTTCTGGCCCAGAACCCAAGAATCTAAACAGTAGCCTATGCTCTAGCCATTTATTTATGCACTTTCTATTTGTTTTCAATATTAATGGCTGGGTAACTAGATGGCCTAATAACCTTCGGTGGGGAGCCAGCGCACCCTCTGGGCAAATGCATTATTCTCTGTCCTTAAAGATACCCATTATATAAGTAAGGTACAGGCGGCAGCCAGGGCCCATTAGTTGCACTGGGGAAAGTGTGAGACTCAAGAGCTCATTGGTTAATCCTGGTTCAGGCCAGTTAATTTCGCACAGAGAGAATTTGCTCCAAGGCCATTGCACCTCTAATGGTAGCTGGCCATTTCATAGTTACTGTCAGTTTCTATAGCAAAGTACCATCCATTTCCAGAAAGATTACTCAAACTACTGTTGTTCTCTTCACTCTTATTCATTCAACAAACAATTATGTGAACCTATTGCCATTTTCCTCCCACCAAGTATCTTGCATTTACTTATTATCCAGGTACTTGCTAAATGCTAATTGTTTTACGTGGATTATCTCACTTAAGTCTTAACTGGGAGCAAGATACTATTATGTTCTCATAGATAATATGACGAAGGCATACAGACTAAGCCTAGCTACAAACCGGTGCAGCCTGATACCAGAACCTGCCCTCTTAACCACTGAGTTTGTGAAGGATACAGAACGACATAACACGAGGCTCCTTCCCATCCACATTTGCAATAATTGTCATCATTTAGAATCTCCATTTCATGTCACCTGGCAATTTCATGTCCAAGGATATGTGCTCCAGAAAGTCACCTGGAGACCTATACGGTATATATGGAGTATGTGCACATATGTAGTGTATATATATGGAATATATACACACATACTCACTACAGTGTTGTTCATAATGTCAAAAATTGGAAATCACCCTCATGCTCATCAGCCCAGGATTGAATAGGTAAATACGGTACTTCCATATAATCCTATGCTATGCAACTGTTAAAAAAGAATGACATATCTCTCTTTATACAAACTATGAAAAATACTAAATATTTTAAGTGGAAAAAAGGCACAGGGCTGTCTGTATAGTATAATGCTATTTCTGTAAATAAAAATTATACACGTTTCTTACATGAAAAAAGAGTAGAAGACTACATTCCAAACTGTCCACAGTTCTCTTAGGGTGGAGAAGGAGGGGTTATAATGGTGTATCTCACTTTCTAAAAGATGTATTTTCTGTAATGTTTAATTTTTTGCAATAAGCATGCCTACATTTGGTTGTCAAAAAGCAATAACGGTTTAAATTTTTAATTAAAAAAATTTTGGGCGCCTGGGTGGCTCAGTCGGTTAAGCGACTGCCTTCGGCTCAGGTCATGATCCTGGAGTCCCGGGATCGAGTCCCACATCGGGCTCCCTGCTCGGCAGGGAGCCTGCTTCTCCCTCTAACCCTCCCCCCTCTCATGTACTCTCTCTCTCTCATTCTCACTCTCTCAAAATAAATAAATCTTTAAAAAAAAAAATTTTAAAGCTCTATTTAAAAGCATATTGCAGCCCTCAAAGAGCTCATCCTTGAGCCTGGGAGGGAATATAACATATACAGAAATATGGAGAGAATATACAGGAAGACAGTGTAACATATATAGAAATAACTATCGTGAAAGCCAGAAACTCATATACACAGACTGATGAACAGAGATACAATTCTGTGGGAAAATCAAACCAGCTCGGGTTGAGAGGTGCGGGAGAAAATGTGTACAAGAGATGGCACTTTGGGAGGACCTTGCAGGAAAGGGAAGATACAGAAGGTGGAGAGGGGGTGAGAACAGGTGGCCTCCCCATAAAGACCGCATCAAGGACAAAGTGTAGAGGCAGGAATGCATGGGATCCCTTCAGGGAAGTGTGGCCAGTCCAGTTTAGTTGGAGTCCGGGAGTATAGATGAAGGATTGTCA